CCCATCTGTGGTTATATTATTTTTCTCCAGCTACCACTCACGTGACAATGACAAAAGGAGAAATTTGAGACGACATTCTGCTCCTTGCTGCCATGCGGGGATTTCACGTGGTTATTCACACAGCTGCTGTTGTGGGCTATAGAAACACTGTGCCCTTTTGGGAAATAAGAGCTGTCAACGTTGGGGGTAAGCTCTTTAAAACAAGAAATTAAATACAGCCTTAAATTCACACACCTTGGTGTAGTCATACAAGAGGCTATGACAAACACATCCTCTCTTATTTAGTGCTCCCTTGTCCCCTGAAATTCAAACACATCACTCTACTACAAGATGAGAGAGGTGCCCAGGACCTTTCCCTTGCAGGGGGAAGTTTCTGCCTTTGCCCCTCTGTCCTTGCTCAGGGCAGGCCATGCTGCTCTTCTCCACTGATAAAGGTTCATCTTAGGAGGTCAGATCTGGACCCAGCTATTATACCATTGTTCTGGTCAAGGGTATAACTTTCACTAATAGTACTGAGGTGATTCAGAACATGCCTGTAGTGGTAAGAAACCATTTAGTATGTGACAAGACAAATTAAAAGTTAACCCCTGTTCTAGATAGCTTATAGCTTTCCCAGGACTTTCCAGGGGAAAAAAAGCCCTACAATACATACCAGCACAAGACTCTACCAGTTGAACTGCATCCACACTGTAAGGGAGTGATGTTATAGTCGGTGCTCACAACTATTTTGTATCTACAAGCCATGCATAAGTGAGAGCTGCACATTTTCTTCCTATCACCAAGACCTGATTTCATGTTAGGTGCAAGATCTGCTTAAAGAAAATTTGTTCATAAATCTAGGAAATAAGCACAGGCTATAAAAATAATGAAACCCCTATTACAGCAGCAATTCCAATGGCACCTCAGGCTGTTAGCTACTAAAATAGTTGTTAACCACAAGGAAGGAATTTTATATATTTTTTATATACATATATCTCAAACTCAATTACTGCTTACTGCTTCTACTATTTGCTGATACATTCAAGGGCAACATTTAAATTCCATCCTTCTTTTCATTGCTGTAGCTGTTTTCAAAACCAGATGCTTTTAAGAGCCTGTGTTGTGCATGTGTACTGAGAATATTCAGAGCCTGAGGGTTCCTGCTACCTTTTAATGGCTTTGTGAGATCTTCCTCTTCATTGTCTGCTTGCTATGAGCAAAGTTCTTTAGTGTAGTGAGGTTCTTACAGATAGCAGTGAGCACTGGGCAGCTCCCCTATTCAGCAAACCAAACCTCTTGCAGATGTTTGCGACATTCCCAGAAAACCACACACGCAAAGATTTTTCCAGTGTGACTGAATGCCTCTTTGAGGAGCACAGTTTGAGATGTCTTAACAGATGCCTTGTTTTCATACAAACTGTTCTGCATTTCTGCCTCCCCTTGGATGGATTCATGTCCCTAAAATGAGCTGCTGCCCTCACTAGGACTGCTCAAAATCTTAAATTCGGAGATTAGTCTAAAGTTATCTATTAAAATCATAGAAGGTAAAAGAATAAAAAGGAACTAATAATTTGATATCTGCTGTAGACTTAATGGAAAAAAACAGGGTCAGGACAGGTCAACTATATAATCCTCTAGCTGGCTCCTCTTTGTAAGTCAGGCCACAGAAATTCATCCAATTAGTGCCTTAAGCCCAACAATTTGTGGCTAAATTGGACTATGGCTTTTCAAAAGACTTGTTGCCTAGAATTAAGGACTGCAAGTTAATGGGCTATCTATCATGTCTTTCAGGCAAGCCATAACAATGTTGAAGAGTACTAGTGTGGCCGTGGTTAATCACCATTTCTGGCAATCTTCTGCTTTGATTCTCTCCTGTTTCAACCACTGGTTGCTGAAACCTGTTATAGTCTTGTTGACTAAATTGAAGACCCCTCTTCTACAAGAATTATTTTTTTTCTATCTAGTCACTGAAAGACTTTTATTCAGCTTTTTGTTAAAATTAATGAATTTTAACTCAGCTGCTTCCAGCAATGTTTCTCAACAGGGGTTCTCAGTTTACTTTATGTGCTGTGATAGGCTCATGGAGAAGCAAATGGATTATTTTCCACCAGGTCTTCTTCATGCTCTCTGAAATTATCCTAAACTCAGGATTTCCTTGATAAATTCAGATTTTGCCCTAACAGCAACAGGGAAATCACAAGCTCTTCCACACAAGAGCTGCAGCAAGGCTCAAGGGCAGAGCCTGATTAGCCAAGTATAAATAGCATGGAGATTTCTGGAAGCCAACCCTATGAGTGGCTTCCTTTTAAGATCTGCCTTATCAGGTTTGAAGGTCCTCAGTATGCAACCATAGTTATGCTTTTGTCATTGAGGTTCTCGTAGAATCAGCTTGAATCAAAATCACAATGAATGCAAAAACCATTCCTGGAAGAGTCATAAATCATTTAAACCCACCCCCTCCCCATAAATCCCCCAAATCAACTAAACACACACACACACTGACCCACAGGTTCAGCCAGAACAACCTTTCTTAAACCAAACCATGCTTCAGTTTCATCTGGATTTCATGCAGACTTGTAAGTTGCCCCCACGATTTCATTTAAAATTATGCATCTACCAGGAGGCTATTGCAGTGATTTTCACCCTATAGTCACCCTGCAGAACTTCTGCAGAGCAATATATTCAACTAAAACAACAATCCTTTTTTTGCCAGAAGGCTGCAATTCACCATTTGACAGTCTGCCCATGAATCAAAAAAAAAAAAAAAAAGACAGAAAACATGGAGCTTTGCTCTGCTGAGCTGTCAGCTTCCTTTTTGTTAGCAGCTATTAAGTCCCACCGAAGTCAGTTGTCAATAGCCATAGAGGTTAAGCCACATTATAGCTATAGATGTAACTGCTACTCTCACGTTATAAACCATCCATGCCTGTGCAAACGTATCTGAGGAACGTGACCTGTGGCTTTACAGCTTTTCAGCCATAAAAAAAGATGGATCTGTTCCAAGTCAGAATCCCAAGCCTGGAAATCTTTTTTTGACTTCCATGACAGGAATCAAGGCAAGGTGGTTAACATTTATTCTTCCCAACCTGCCCCAGAGGTACTGAAAATGTGTTAAGGGCCTGCTGTATCCTGAACATCCTGTATGTTGTCCACACAAGCTCCATTGCTGCAGTGGGACCAAATACCTTGCATGAGCCCATGTTCAGGTGAGGCTAAGCAAATCTTCTCCATTACTCTGGGTCTTCAATTAAACAGTAATGAAATTGCAACCAGATGGAGGTTTTTGCCGTGGCGACAAAGAAGATATGTGCTCCCCTTCCTGTCAATTCATCTTCTCTTTCTTGAAAATCCTTCTTTGCTGTGTTACACTTTGAGGAACCATACCTTTCCCAACCGAAACTTGACCAGTAGTGGAAACCACTGATGGCAAGAGCTGGTTGAGAGATGTATGACCCAACTGCATCTTCAGGCTGTCTCCCATATGTATGTCCCTGCCTCTCTAAGCCCTAAAATCCGTTTCAGGTAAGTTCTCAGATTCTTAAGGTTTGTGATAAATTGTGTCAAGTTGTATCTTGCTGTTGGTTCAGAGTTTTTGCTCTCTCCCCCCAATGAGTCAACCCAAAGGACAGGTGATGCTCTACTATTATCAACCCACTTTCCCTCCTTGTTTGAGCTCCACAGTGGATTGCTAGCAAGCCTGTACTCAGCTCCTATTATTAAATGTGGTCAAATGTATACAGATTATTTTAGCACTATTTCAGAAGAAAGTTAGTTGGTCACACAGTCTTAGGGGACAGATGGATTTGGTGTGAAGTTGCACTGCAGTATTCATGTGTAGTTACACTCTCTGTGACCTGGATCTGACCTGTATATCACACCCTTCTATCCCTCAAAATCCTTTTTCTTGCTAACACGCTTATGAGGGCTAATTCCTGGGATTTATACACTTTGGGGCATTATGCTCAACCTGTCTCTCTGTATGTGGCTCCTGTGAGACCAACCCACAAACCTAGAAGAAGCAGCAGAGTTTTAGAAAACCTCCTGCAGCAAAGGTGGGATTTGGAGCAATGCAAAATCACTGGTCAAAATTACTATTTGGAGGGGTTTTGATATCCAGAACTGACTTTCACTATCAACTGAAACTCCTGCTCACAATTCAGCATCTGGATACCTTTACTATGCATGGGGAAAGAGTACTTGCACCTTGAGAACTGAGGAGATATTTCTGAAGACCAGGAGCTGAAATTTTAAGTTAAATTTGAAGTCAGGTAGAGACAGCTGCAGTCTGATACCACTATAAGGTTCCTTGATGATTTCAAGCATGGTTGTAGCCACACAGACTGCTCAAACCATGGAAACTTGTGTGCAGGGAGAACTGGCTCAAAATCAAGTTTTGTCCCTACAAGCAGCCAGCCTCGACACAGCTGGCTTCAATCATTTGGCTCTAGAAATTTGCACCCAGCTAGAAAAGGCTAAGACGTAACTTAAATTGACCTACAAGCCTAAATTTCATACTCACAAGTAAGCCAAGGCATAACTCAGTTGTTTTGAAAAGTGTTTAAGGACTCAAATCTGTAGAACGAATGTCTGGTCTAGGGAAAAAACCATGAGAACAGTGAACCTCAAACCATATGGGATCATGAGCACTATAGGCACTGTGTCACTGAAAAGCTGTGGAATTTGGTCATTAGCATATCTAAATAATTTCTAAAAATGAATGTAGATACTGGCACATCCTTGTTAGTATTTTAGTCCTGTGACTCGAGGTACATGTGAATAGATGCCTTAAAACATCTACCCCAAATCTTGCCTGTGAGGACAGTCCTTTGGCTTGTAATGATGGCACCAGTGGGTGCAAGCAAAAACCCATCTGGGGTGATGCTTAGAGAGTTACACATGAACATCTTCTGCCCACCAACTCCTAATCCTTCCCCACCACAAATGCAAATAAAACCACCACCTAGAGCCTTTAACTCATTTTGCAGAACAGGCTCAGGTTCTCCCATGGTGCTGAGAGAAAGCCGGAGAAAGCGGTCCTCGTTCTCCGGTGATTTTGCTTTGAAACTAAGGGAATTACATAATGCAAAATGAGAGAAGGGTCAGACCCCAGTAAAAAAAAAATAAAATCCACCACTTATTTCATAGGGAGCCCAGCGGTGACTGGAAGCGATGTAATATGGCTCTGTTTTCATGACTGAAAGCACAGGTGATGTGGCTTTCCCCTGCCTCCACTTCTCATCTTCCTCATCCCCATCCAATCTGTTCTGCTTTTCTCCCTCACAGTCCATGATCCTGCCTGCCTGCCTTTTTCTTTTTCTCTGTCCTCCTTCTCCATCATTCCTCATATAATTTTATTTAATTCATTTTTACATGCTTGGGAATTGACACAGACAAAGCATGATTAGTCTCTGGACAGGGTGATGGGTGCAGGGATAATGCTCACACCTCAGCATCCGACAATAATAGAAAATGCCTCTGTCAGTCTCAATCCCTCTGAGACAGTCACCGCTGAGATACCTTCTGACAATGCTGCTCCAGTCTTATTAGTGTTCAGTTATCTGTGATCGTTTTGAAAAGCAAGAGCATTATGCTGAGCTCTTTGTTACTACCAGGCTTCAGAAGGGGTGGGGGAAGGCAAACATGAGCAGAGCTCTGCAGCCCAGGAACAGCAGGCATGTTTGCCCCCTCTGTGAAGCTGCTGCTTTTTAAAAGCTTTGTAAGGCAAAAAATAAATTTGGATTAAAAAAAAAAAGAAACTAATTAAAACTAGAACTTTTAGATAACCCCCCTAATTGTTTTAGGCCTCTCCTGGGCTTGCAACAAATCACACACAATCAATCTCTTGTCTTGCTTGTTTTCTGGTTTGTCTTTTGCTCATCACCCATAAACACAGGAAAGGGGAGGAGGGTTTTGTGATAAAAGCCCATGGTGTGTGAGGAGGCTGTATTTCTGATGCTCCTAATTTATTTCTGTTGCTGAAGCACAAGAAGGCCCTGATCTCAGCTGGGATATCTGACACACAAGATACTAGATTGCTGAGCAGGAAAGAGAAAAGCAACAGTATTATCCACGTTTTACCCATGGAGAAGTGAGCATAGAACAGAGTAAGCAAGTTGCCCAAGGTCAAACAGGGAGCCCGAGTCAGAGCTTGCTCTCCTGAGGCCCAGTGTTTGACAAAAAGATCTTTGCTGCATGAACTCATCAGAGGTCACTTGACCCTTCCAAAAGCCTCATCTGCAAAAGAAGCATGACAATTCTTCATTACTCTGTGTGGAGGTACCCCATGTCTGGCAAAGTCTGGTGCTTGCCTAGGCTGAATTTCTCTAGGACAGCAAAAGAGAGTAAATTAATTTAAAAATTTAAAGACAGACTCCTGCAGCATGCAGAGGGAGAAAGAGCTCCCATACTAGCCATGGCAGTGGGAGAGCAAGTGGCCACAATGTATTCATGGAAGGTCCTTCCCAGTGCTTCAAACAAGTTTTCTTTACTCCCCTGCTCCTCCAGAGACCACTGAATCTGCTTAACTGCATCCTGCAGTGGACTAATGTTGATCTAGAACCACTGGGACAAAATGGCCAGCACCCTGCTGGGGAATAGAGCTGCTTTCTTGTTTCTCCTTGGAATTATTTCAGGGCCTGTGAGGCCAGTTACATTATAGATCCCATGGGCTTTCCTCCTTGCGGCTGTAAGTTAGGAGCTGAGGAGCAGCTTGTCATTCATAGTACCAATCAAGTATCCCCAGCATGGCTGTGAGCACTTCATCATGGGTCTGCTTCTTCGCTCTTCCCCTTGAGCATAATTTGCTAAGGGAGATGAAGGAATAATCTCAGCACAAACCTGCTAATTGCATGTCTTCCAAGAGACCACTAGCAGCTCTATCACATCACCAGCAAATATCTCCCAACTCTAATCAGCTCTGTGAGAAAATCAAGCAGCAGCTTCTCCTTTTAGTTTATGGCTCATGAGAGAATTTTCTCTACATCTACTGAAAAAATGAAGTAGGATTGCTCTCATTTTCCTGCCCTCCATCTTGTGCTCCTTCCACCTTGTTCAGCCACTTATGAGTTGCTTAAAAATGTAACTCCACTGCCTTATAATTTGCCTGCCAGACTTTTATTTGCTTCAATCACGCTACTAGACAAGAACAAATCCAGCTGACAGAAATAAAACCACTACCCTCATGCAAACCTGCCTATGAAGACCCAGAACCACCTGGTATTTCTTGAGGCCTTATTTCTTACAAACTGCAGCATGGATATCAGATTCATATAACTCACAACCAGTGGTAAGTCCCTGGAGAGCAGAGATTGCAGAGTAAATCACGTTGTGACAAATGTCTCCAAGCCCTGTGCTCTACTCCATCGTCTCTCACTGCCTCTCACAATCTATTTCAGAGGAAATGAGGACACCAAATACAGTGTAAAAGTGGAGCTGCCTTATGGGAAGACAAAGACCGTGGCAGAAAAACCTGCATTAGAAGCCAATGGAAAAAAGGTACAAAAGTCAATGGTAGCCCCCGTGGTATTACAGCACAGGATGGGTAGGACAGAGATGGTTGGAAAGACCATGTATCCAACTGCTGCCTTGACATGATGCATAAACCGCATTGCCCTAAGCTTACCAAAGCCTGATATTCCCCCATTATCAAGAAGCTGCCAAACTCTTAAAAGATCAAAGGGTGCTGCCCTTTGAGCCCGTGCTTTAACTCCACCAGGAGTGTGACTTTGGAAAGAGCTGTCTTAAATTAGGGCCTAAGAAACCAGGTTCACCTAGTTCATACTGCATAAAGGTATAATTTTCAGACGTGCCCGAGTGATTTAGGAATCAAAATTATTAGTGTACCCAGAGTGAGCCACCTACGTAAGCTAGCTGCCTAGTATTTTTAGACTCCCAGTGGAGTCAGCAGAAAGATGAGTTCTAGAGGATGAAGCAGAATATAAGAATGAGACTTCTGTCCTAAATCACTGCCTGGAGCCTCTCTCTCTCTCCTGGTTACTGTGAGGCCAGCCAGCTTAGCTGGCTTTCTCTGGTACCTGATTTTGGTTGTTGCAAATACTCATTTATACATCACAACTGCAGAAGAGTTAATGCCACTAGCACCCTCCATCCAACATCTCTCAGTGAGCACCACATAGATGCAGGTGTGTTATGAAGACAAAAAAAAAAAAAAAAAATCAAACCAGGCCTCTCCTTGTATTTTTAGGGACACAAACCAGGCCCTAAATGTCCAGAGCACCTCTGCAAATGTTGACTCCTCTAGCCCAATATTCCCAGCTTTTGGTTTTATCTGGCAAACCCAATATCGCTACAGGAGATTTCATCTCTGAATCCACTACTCATTAACATCCATCCCTGATTTTACAGCTGAGCAACGGTGGTAAACTCACAACCTGTATCATCTGTGCAAACACAGAGTATGGAGAGAAAGCAACGTTTCTTCAGGAGTTGTATTTGCTTGCCAAAGCCAGGAATAATGTGTTGAACTACCTGGAGCCTGAAAACACAGAGCATAATTACACATATGTGGGTGAGTGAATGATTGACCTCTTTGCATGCGGTACTACCACACCGTTTTAAGTCACAGGGGATTTTACATAGCTGAACCATAATCTTCCAAGACAGAGGTGAGTATGGTGAATGAGCACAAATATTTTTATAGCCACAAAACTTAGACTGGCTAAAAGAATTTTTGAAACAGTTGTTTACATTCTCCTGTTTTTCCTGGAAAGGATTTTCTTTTTTCCTTTCAACATAGGGAAAAAGTTTGTTTAGAAAACTGAAAAAAAGTCAGCAGGGAAAAGTATAGAGATCTAATCTTCCTTTTTCTAGGTAAATGTTTCAAGGGATATATGGGGGAAGAGAAAGAGAAGTTCACACAGTATTTTAAAATTTTTTTTAGTTTGAAAAGACAATTTCTTCTTCATTAGAAAAAAATAAGCTAACACTACTTGTAAAATTCCTTGCAGAAAAGGCTGTACTACATAACTGATTTTAGCAAGCACAAGAAAACACAAAACCTAGAGAAAGAGTTTGTTGTGGTGTTGAATGTATTTCAGGGGAGTATAACTCACCATTAAATCATGTAGTTATTTCCGTGCAGCACACTTCTATGTCTTCTTCCAAAAGTGCAGATAACAGTAGTTTGAAAATGCTGTTAGAGAAGAATCAGGCCTAGATAAATCAAGTGACTTCTTCAAAGGCTCACAGCAGAGCCAGGAATAAAACCCTCGAGCACTGCCTCCCATTCATCCTGCTCTCACTACAAAACACTGCCCTTTCACTTCACATGAACCAGTATCACAAGGCACATTAATTGTCCAGCTCAAAGGGGAGACCAAAGGTTTAAAGGATCTTGGAGGTCTGGATTAACTACTCAGTCTCTCTACAGTACAGCTGAGTAACACAATGAGTGCTTTTGCTACTTCACAGCACTGGAGCTGGCAGATCCAATGTACTCATTCTCCAGTAAACAGGAAAATTTATCTCATGAATATCTGTTTCTCTCCCCCTCTTATTTCTCCAGGGAACGTTGCATGGATGCATGTTCTTGCAGCAAGGAACTTGCAGTTGAAACCAGATTTACTCGCAGAACAAGTGTGTTATTCCTATGATGACACTCCAAACAAGGAAAGGTTTTCTGATCAGGCATCAGCTGTTGTCCTCTGTGGACCCCTCAGTCAGACTAGGCTCACACATCCCTTACTGGAAGATGTGGTTAGTGATGTAATTGCACAGGATGATCAGGGTCATTCTGTACCCTATCTGGAAGCCACAGCCTTTCCAAAACTTGTCTTTACTGAACGCTGTAGTCACCACCTCCTCCTATGAGACAGACAAAGCCTCCAGGTATTTTGGGTACAAACCTCTCTTCACATGGAAAGAAAGCAAGCACAGAACAGCACAGTGGTTGGAAGCAGCTGCAGGGAACCTGGAACGACCCCAGCTTCATGAAAAGAACAACTAAGCAGCATGTTTGGGGTAAGGAGAGAGCTTATCACCCCAGGTGCATGCACACAGACGCAGGGCTTGCAGGACTCAGCCATTCCCACTGTGCCACCACTGCACGGGCATCGCTCGTGGGAACGAGAGAGACAGGTTCAGATCAGAGACAGTGCACAGCAAACACCTTTTTGATAAAAGTAGATAACCACTTTCATTCCACAGCCTGATGAACTTCCATCTCCTTCCATACTCAGCAAACGGATCTCTCCCTTGCCACAGCCTTGGGCAGCTGGCGGGATGGCCGTGCCTGGCTCATACACTCACAGGATCTTCAGCAATAATTTTGGGGAAGACAAGGAAAGCTCATCAAGTTTTAGGGTTTAATACAAGGAAAATATAACTCCCTTTTTGAGAGCTACCTTTTTCAAGATGCTTCCTATTAATGTGTGGAATATCGCATCTGTTTTGAAATATTATCCCTATAAAAAGAAACTTCCACTCTCTTGTGCTAACAATTTATAGGCTGACTTTACTTTCTAATTGTTTGGATGGATAACTGATGTCTAAAAGCCTCGAAGTGAGATTCATATAGTTTGTAGCTCAAAATCTCTTACCTTGCAGCACTCCAGCAGCAAAGCAAAACAGATTAAAGCCCACATTCAGCTGCTGCACTGGCAGACAGCGACTTTAGTGAAGGCCTTAGGGGCTGTGTTTATGCTAAATAACGTCTGAACTTCAGGAGGAAGAGGTCATTTCAACTCATCCCATGGCACTGGACCTACAGAGTCCATCTGGGAGCAGTATTTCACAGATTATATTTTCCTAACACAGTCAGGACAGGCGCTTCCACAAGATTCACAGCAAAAACTGGTTTGTATCAGTTTATCACCCGCTCTATTTTTAAGACTCACAGAAAGACTGGTAAGCCTACATTAAGCACAATAGAGATTTCAGTTTTCACTTGAGCTTGGAGAAATGGGATATTTTTACAATACTGGTTCATATCTAAAATCAATTCTATTGGTATCACACTTCTGTGTTCTGTAAATATATACCCATCTCCCGAGTTTTCCTACAGTAAAAGTGTACACGTGTACAAATAAAAGCTTATTTTGATTACAAGTGCCTTAATCCTCCTGGAAAAAGCAAGTTTCAGCATGGCATCCTTGATAGAAATTATAAAAATTCGCTTCTTATTAGTCACAGTAATTACCCAGGAAGGGAAGCAAAGCAATACAGTGTGAGTTGCCAAGTTAACTTGACCAAAATTCACATTCACAAGAGAATTCTTTGCAAAATTAGCTTAAAAATAAAAAATAAAAAATAGCACTGGTAATTCATTAATAATTTAATATAATAAAGAAAATTGGGGGGAATTATTGCAATTTGTTCATAAAGAATTTGTGAAGGTGAAGTGAGTTATCAGTTCTCTACTTTTTTTTTCTCCTACCATTTGTGCTGGGAGGTTTTTAACAAAGGGAGTAGTAAGATTGCTGAGTTTTCTGTTTCACCAAAAACTCTTTTTGCAGGTTTTTGCCATTATTCAAATGGTAGATGACAGCTTGATAAGAATCTGACAAAGAAACAAACACTCAATTTCTCATGCACGTTGCCAGAGTATCGCCACAGGACAACAACATTGACCTCAACAGGTTTTGATGCTTCTGAAACCTTGGGTTTATCTTGCTGAAAAAGAGCCACTGGGTGGAGCTGCAAGTCTGTGAGACAGGTAGCCTCTCCCCATGAGTTCAAGTGTTGCAGGCGCTTTTGCTTTAGGTGGTTTTTAAAAGAAAGGAAAGACCTGCCCAGAGAGCGAGGCTGAGGGATGGGGCGGGGGTATCTGACCATCCATATTTGGGCTCAGTCTGTGGTATTTGGAGTTTTGGACTTCCCTCGGCTGGCTGGGTGCAGTCATCGCCTTATCGTCATGTAGCCATGTAATCAAGGAGCCTGAGGAAATTATTTTTCTACTCTGGACTCATTAGAAAAGAAGTTTGCTTTCTGTTTTTAAAAGTAGAATTAAATAAGGCACTCTGACCTTTGATAAAACTTGCCTAAGTATAAGAGCTGATGCTTTCAGTCCCTTTCAGAGCCCTTGGTATATTCCCTTGTGGGATTTGGAGGTGCTGAAGATATCAGATGGGACAGCTGTCAAGGCCCAATACTATCCTAGAGATCAATGCTTTATAAGCTTGCCTGCTTTCAGAAACCTTGCTTGGGAACCTCATTATGCTTTTGTTCCTGAACTGCTCATCATCACCTACGATTTTGATGCTTATCTGGATGCAGATGACATGAAGGATAAGGAACAGGGATTTTTAAAGGTAGTAAAGTGCAGGATTTTTCAAAAGTATCTGAATTAGTTGGCTGCTTAGCTTTTTTTGTACCTGCCCACCTCCCAAGTTTTGACAAAGCAAGTAGAGGATTCCCTTTCCCTGCTCATGGTAGAAGTGGGGGAAAAAGTTAGACAGCAAAGCCTCTGTGCTGTTTTCCAAAAAGATGAGTAAGCTTCCTTTGGCTGCCCTGCATTTTGGCTCCTCCAAGCTAATGCTGCTGCAGACTTCCTGTTAGATCCTTGATTTTATCAGATTATAACTTGTTTTCTCCTGGCAATGCTTTAATTCTTTCTACTGCACTGGGTTGTCATTGGCTTTTCTTTTCAGGGTCTCAGCCCTATTATATAACAGCAGCAGCAAAAAAAAGAGAAAAGAAAAATATTTCAGATCTGTTTCTACTTCTGGAGAGGAGCCTTTGTGCACAATTACTCATCCAAGAGATTCAGCAGGTATAACTGCTTCCCCCAGGGGCTCCATTATATAATTGGATTTCAGCCATACAAATTAAATCCTATCTTACCCCTTAGTTAAGCCAGGCAGTAAGTATTTAATGCTAATATCCCTGACAACTATTGCAGGGAGAAGCAGAGATGAAGCACAGAGGAGACAGATGCATGCATTCTCCATAGGAGGAGGGAGGATGAGCAAGGAGTGCATTGACAGAAAGACAACTGCTATATTTTAAACATGGCTAAACTTCCCCAGCATGAGCCATGGCATCTGCTGGAGTTGTCGCCTGAGCTGGAACGTGGTTCTCCCTTCGTTTTTCCATGTGTGCACTGAGCATTCACCCCCCAACACACAGACACACACACAGACACACACACACACTTCAGTGCCACATGCCTAACTCTGTTTGAATTTCTATGGAATTCTCTGTTCTTGTGCAACGTCTGAAGGAAGCAAGCTTAGTAATATTAAAACTCAAGCCAAACACACAAACAAGAGAAGAAACCCCAAATAAAAAGGAAAATCTCAACAGTTACTCATTCATCTGCATTTTCTGTTGCGTTCTGTCTTCTCCAGGCATGTTTCTTTTAGACAAAGCCCTCTGGGCAGAGACCATCTCTTTTGGTGTCTGGTACATCAGTCACATAGTTAGTACATAGTAATAAAGGAAAATAGATTCATGGTAGGAGTTAAACCAGTCAGTCTGGTACTGTAATTGGAACATAATCTCATATTGACAGTATTTAACACAGGATGCGCAAGGAACAGATGGCAGCAAGCCAGGCCTCAATCGTTCTGCAAATATTGGAAAGATGTTTTCCAAGTCCAGCTCCTGAACCTCATCTCTGATGTCGGAAGCTTTGCTTCTCCAAATGGACCTAGATCCACTCGCTAATCCTGGTTAAAGCTCAACACACCCCTGTGCCCCTGAGCTTGCAGACAACGTGGCCAGCAGAGTTTCAGTTGCTAAGTATCTTACAAATGCTTAAACAGAGATTTGAAAAAGCATCAAGGGCAAAAGTCTCTGACAGCCATTGGCACAAACATTCCCAAACCTCTTGTGCTTCTCCCTTACAGACCGAGCTCTTGCCTGTGACACAAGACACAAACCCATGTGCCCTTGCAGTCAGAGATACCCACCAGCATCTCAGTCTGCTGCTTCTTTCACCTCTAAATCCTTCGGTCATACAATTAACTCAACGGGGCATACTGGCAGCACAGAGTTCTTCCTTTCTCTAAGCCTAAAACGCTGAGCTAAAGCAGGTTAAAGGAGAGGAAGCACATTTACGTCCAAAATGCATCATGGTATGGAGTGAGACGGTGTTAGGAGCAGACACAAACTCAGCTCAGGGTATGGGGGAGGTATACCACGCTTCTTATATCTGCTACAGGAAGTTTAAATTGATTTTTCTCTATTTCAGCAATTAATTCCCATTAATCAACTCACTGTACAATGCTGCACTATAATTCACAAGTTTTATGTATTATATGAATAAAATTGCACATATATTTTTATGTGATTTTCATTTAATTGAATTCCAAGGAGATTTATCTGTTGGGTTATTAATAAATCTTAATATGGCCTATAACACTCAATTGATATTTAATTAACCTGCAATAACTGCCTTGTAAAATGTAAATTAAATGCTTTATTTTTCCAGGCATATAACCTTAAATCAAATTCTTCATTCTACCAGCAAAGCAAAAAGGAGTGGGGAAAAAACAAGATTGCAGGCAACCAAACTTTAGACCTGAAAATATCTGATGTTTAAAAAGGTTCAAACTGGAAACTGGATCCATGCTCTGTAACCAAGTTCTTCTCCTAAGGAAGTACTTTTCCACTGTCTCCCCACCTTTAAAGATCACAAGAATCTGTGTGGATTTAGATGAAACATCAAACTCTCAGGAGGCTTGAAGAGAAGTGAGAAGCACCCATTATTAATAATAAGGTTGCAAATTCCCATAGGTATTGTGGTATTTGGCATTTTTCTTAAAGCCTTGGCTCCTACAGTCACATTATCAAATGAGAATGTCAATTTTCATTTAAAAATAATAAAAAAAAGAAAATATGTTAAAGTCCTTTGATAGGGGAAGAAGCTTGCAAACCTGAATGTCAAAGGCATGAGAACTAAGAGACAAAAATACGAAAAATTTGATCCTTATCTTTAAAAGTATCAGAACTTTTTGAGACTTGAGATGTTTGAAAACTGGGAGGTGGCAACAAATGATCAAAACA